GGGGCGTGTAGGAGCGGGGAGGAAGGGATAAAATTGGTCACTCCTTCCCTTCCCCCTCAGCTCAGAGTCTCTGTCGGAGGAGTTTTATGGAGAGGATCAGCTCTTGGCAAGGCTGGGTAGGGCTGTATGAGGGGAGGGAGGGTGTGCGAACTCCGTTTGCTCTTCAGCTTGGCTGGCCATGAAGAATATGGAATTAAAGTCCTCTCCAGATTCTGGGCCGGGAGGGAGTGTCTTTTGGGAATAGGGGCTGGAAAAAACCACTTTCATGTGGAAAAACCACACTTGGAAGTGGAGGGTGAAGGGGTTGAAGAGTCGCAATGGGACTGTTTGGTCAGCACTTAGGTGGGGGTGGACATAGATGTTAGAGCAGAGGAAAACGTGTATGTTCCGAATGGGCCATGGGGGAGGTCAAAGGAGTCCACTTGGCCCTTTCTCAGAGGGCTTTGGAAAATCACCCAGCCATCCTCAGCCCCTACTTTACCATAATAGACTATTGGTGCATGTGAGCCTTTCCTCAACAAAACTCGTTTTACACCAACTCCCGAGAAGGTTTCCAGAACTTTCCTGAGATGCTCAGTTGAGATTTTCCTCAGTGCCTTCCTGAGGCCTCTCCCTCCGCAGCTTCATTTTCTTCCTTCCAGTCCTGCCCTCTCCAGGACAGAGAGCAGTAGGGTCCTCCTTTTCCTAAGACTTTTCCCAGCTCATGTTTCTCCAAACTGGTTCTCAGACATTCTCCAGACACCAGCTTCTCCTAAACTCTGCTTCCTTACCTGGAAGGACTGGTTTTGGAGGACCCCAAGAATAACTGCATCAGGTTGGGTTTGGCCCAGCCCCAGTTCGCCTTGCTCCAAGGCAGTTGGAGAGAGGGGGGCACTTACTGCTTTAGTCTTTACTTATGGCAGAAATTCCAGTTGGAGCCGCCCTTCTCAAGCTCCACATTCCCTTCTTGGGCACCCAGCTCCTCCCCTGTGTCCCTTCCCTTCCCTCCAGGGACACCATGGCAACGCAGAAGCGAGGGCAGTTGTCATGGAAATGGTCCTCTAAAATTCCCTGTATTTGGGGCACAGCCCTCCGGGGTGGGGGTGGGAGATGTTAGGGTCTGACTGATTAGTGGCATATCTTCTCTGTCTCATCACTATTGCTCATCTCTACAGAAGCTTCCCCAAGTCCTGAACCTTGCTCTCCTCACAGCCTCAGGAGATCCGGGGACTGGTGCAGACACCAGCCCTGCCCTCTGGGAGCCTGAGCCTTTGAAGGAGGCAGACAGACTGCAAGGGCATATACAGAGACAACTGACAGTAGTTGGTGCTTGTGCTTGTGTATGTGTGTGTGTGTGTGTGTGTGTGGCGGTGGGTGCAGAGAAAGCCTTCTCAGAGGGGGTGACCCATGTCTGCCTGGAAGGGTCCTCTCTAGGTCATCTTACTCTTTCCCCTGCTTCTGAACCCCTTTCCATGGTATTGGACCGGGGATGGGATGGTTGGAAGATAGGTGGGAAGTTTTCTTTTCTTAAAAAGCTCCAGGGAAGTAATAATAATTATAGCTACTCTGTAGAGAGCACTTACTAAGTGCCTTGTACTTATCTCATTACATTCAAGGAGGTGGTATTATCTTCATTCTGCGATTAAGTATCAGAGACACGTGACTTACCCAGGGTCACACAGCCAGCAGGGGGTGGAGCCAGGATGTGAGCCCAGGTCCACCTGACTGCAGAGCCGGTGCTTTCCTCCCCGCGCCATGCTGCCTTCTGAAGAAAGATGGCGTTGCTGACCCCGGTCCTCGGCTGCCTGCCGTTCCTGCAGACCCTCCCTGTAGCTCGATTTTCTCCCTCCCACTGCAGATTCCCACTGTGTTTTTGATGACTTTCCTGGAGGCACTGGAGACAGGCTATGGGAAGTACAAGAACCCTTACCACAACCAGATCCATGCAGCTGATGTTACCCAGACAGTCCATTGCTTCTTGCTCCGCACAGGGATGGTGGTAGGTGTCCGGGAGATCATTCTTCTGTGATTTAGGGTCTTATGGCTGCAGAACTGGGAAGTCTAGATTATACTCCCATTTCCCTTTGTCTCTTTTGGTTCCTCTCCATTGGTATCCCAGAGTCTTTACAGAGTCAGACTTTACTCCAGAGAATTCCTGGGTGTACCATAACGTCACGGGCAGTGCTGGGAATGTGTGCTGGGGTATAGCAGGAAGGTTTCAGGTTGGGATAAGGGGGTATTTCACCGTTCTGGGAGCTGAGAAACCTGGCCATGTTAGCCCAGGAGCTGGCCTTGAAGAACGGAAGGGCTAGGCTGAGGGGCGTAGCCTGGGGTGGAGGTCTTTGGGCAGTGCTAGGCAGGGGGAGGCCCCTGTCATCCCGTCTCTCTCCCCCAGCATTGCCTGTCGGAGATTGAGGTCTTAGCCATCATCTTCGCTGCAGCCATCCACGACTATGAGCACACGGGCACTACCAACAGCTTCCACATCCAGACCAAGTGAGGGGTGCCGATGTGGCAGGGGCAGGAGGGGCCCAGTGGGAGTGGGGGAGGTTGCCAGAGTCCCCACGTACAGGGGGCTGGACGCAATGACCCTTGGCTTTGCAGGTCGGAATGTGCCATCTTGTACAATGATCGCTCAGTGCTGGAGAATCACCACATCAGCTCTGTCTTCCGAATGATGCAGGATGATGAGATGAACATTTTCATCAACCTCACCAAGGATGAGTTTGTGTGAGCTGAACGCAGGAGTGGGCAGCCCGGAGAGACCCCCCCGTCACCCTGACCCTCTCTTCCCACTCCCTGGACCCGCGGCCCATCGGTGCTGTGGGGGCTGATCGCTTTTCTGGTTCTGTCCATCCAGAGAGCTACGGGCCCTGGTCATCGAGATGGTGTTGGCCACGGACATGTCCTGCCATTTCCAGCAAGTGAAGTGCATGAAGACAGCCTTGCAGCAGCTGGAGAGGTGGCATCTGGTGGGGTGTGGCCAGGGCGAGGCCAGAGTGAGGGCTGTGTGAAGCGGGGGCACACGCATGGGTAGCTGGTGTGCCGGGCCTTTACCTGGATGCAGAAACTCTCCTGGCTCCAGGTGTCTGAGTCCATCTCCACGGAGGGGTGTGTGTGTGTGTGTTTGTGTGTGTGTGTGTATGTGTGTGTGTGATATGTGCACACGGGCCTGGGTTTGCATCCGGCCCGGGCTGCAGGTCTGCTGGAGGGCACACCGGCCTGGGAGTCTGAAATGGGTGTTCTCACTGCTGCCGCAGGACAGCCCAACCCTGGAATGTTGGGAAAATCATGCAGCCTTTCTGGACTCGTTTCCTTATCTGTGCCGTGTGAGAATGAGAGGTCTCCCTGCCACAACTTGCCACCAGGTCCTACGCGAATAGGGCTAGTGAGAGAGTCATGTGAGGTTAAAGGAGAAAAAGCACAGAACAAATGCCACGATTACATTGACTGTTGCTTAAAAGTAGGCGGGAGGGTAGAAATGTGTGTAAGAGAGAAGAGACTGTGTGCGGGGGTCCTGAAGGTGTGTGCTCACATACAGTGTCTCTGTGGGGGCAGTGTGCAATGTGGCATTGTTGGGGAATAATGATAATACTTATAATAATAATGATGAGGAGGATGATGTTGATGATTATAGATAACATCTACTCAGCACTTACTATGTGCCACTCTACTAAATACTTTAATGTTGTGTGTCATTTAATTTTCAGAACAACCCCATGTGGCAGATTCTGTTAGTATTTCCTTTTTTTTTTTTTAAAGATTTTATTTATTTATTTGAGAGAATGAGAGAGAGAGAGAGCACATGAGAGGAGGGAGGGTCAGAGGGAGAAGCAGACTCCCTGCCGAGCAGGGAGCCCGATGCGGGACTTGATCCCGGGACTCCAGGATCATGACCTGAGCCGAAGGCAGTTGCTTAACCAACTGAGCCACGCAGGCGCCCCTGTTAGTATTTTCTGTTAGGGTTGAGGAAAGTGGAATATGGAAATTTTAAGTAACTTGCTGTATATCACACAGCTGGTGTGTGATAGGTACAGAGGGGACTTGAACCCCTGGCCTCTGATTCTAAGAGCTTGGGCTGCTTCCACACTTATAGGCGCCTGTGTGCGCCCCCACGTGTGTGTGCGCGTTGCCTCAGAGGCTGGCTGAAGTTCCCTGCAAGGCGCTGAGGGCTTGTGATGGGAAGTTAGGAATGGTCCAGGTTTCCTTCTAAAGGATAAGTCTCCCTTCCCTTACCACCCGCTCTGCCCAGGATTGACAAGTCCAAGGCCCTGTCTCTACTGCTCCATGCTGCCGACATCAGCCACCCAACCAAGCAGTGGTCGGTTCACAGCCGCTGGACCAAGGCCCTCATGGAGGAGTTCTTCCGCCAGGTAACCCACCCCTGCCCTCCTTCCCCTTTGTTCTCCAGGTGCCCACTCTGCTTCCAGATCTTCATTCAGCTCCCTGCGGCTTCTGCCCTGATCCTGAAGCCCTGGGATCAGAGGTCATTTTCCTGAAAGCTTAACTGTGGTTGCATCCCATTTGCATACCATGACCATTTCCAGGCGTAGGGCACCGAAACTCCTCTTCTCCCACAACAACCCCGGACCGCCCCGAGCTGCACCCCGGCCCCCGGTAGTCTGAGACACCCCCTCCAGCTTTCCCGCCCTCTCTTCCCCTCCAGGGCGACAAGGAGGCAGAGCTGGGCCTGCCCTTTTCTCCCCTGTGTGATCGTACTTCCACTCTGGTGGCACAGTCACAGATCGGTGAGCGGCCTTTCCTATTGGGCGGAGAGTCCTGGGAAGGGGCCAGGATGCTTTCTGGGCCGGGGCCAGGGCTCTTTGTCTCCATCCCTCAAAACCAGTCTGCCTGTGGAGTGAGCCAGTGCTGGGGCATGGGGTCCTGGGTGGAAGGCCTGGGGGTGCAAAGGCGGGGTCACAAAGACATCGTTGCAAAGGCTGTCCCCACCGGGAACTTTTCAGCCTGTGTCACCATCTTACCCGAAGCCGGGGGTTCCAGCCATGCAGGGCCCTCTGCCCAGCCCTCCGGGGGGGACCTCTCCATTGTGTTCCCCCTTCACCGCAGGGTTCATCGACTTCATCGTGGAGCCCACCTTCTCTGTGCTGACTGATGTGGCCGAGAAGAGTGTCCAGCCCCTGGTGGATGAGGACTCCAAGTCTAAGAACCAGCCCAGGTGAGGGTGGCTGGGGTAGCTAGGTCCCCTGGTTCTGGGGGAGGGAAGAGGGACTCACAGAGAGCACTGATCGCTCTCTCGGGGTGGTGGAGAAGCCGGCTACCCCAAACTCGGGAGTCTCTGCTGCATGTCACACACAGGGGTGGAAGAATGGGACCAGAAGGGTGTGACCTGCCCCTGTGGTCCCCTCCAGCCATTTTTCGTTAGCTCTATCTTTATTGCCTTTCTGCTAATCTCGTTTTTATTTTCCTTCTAGTAGGAGGGAAGGTGTGGAGAGGAAGGGGTGAAATTGAGGGAAAAGGGGCACGGACTTGGGGGTACCCAGCAGAGGGAAAGGGGGAGGATAAGTCTCCCTCAGCCACCTCCTGGTCTTCCATCCCTGCGCCACTCTGAGGGCTGTGAAGGCAGTTCTGGAGTGGGCTGGGTCTCACCTCTGGAGTTGGGGGGCGCCTGCTTTAGTTTCCAGTGGCGCCAGCCTTCTCTGGATGTGGAAGTGGGAGACCCCAACCCTGATGTGGTCAGCTTCCGCTCTACCTGGATCAAATACATTCAGGAGAACAAGCAGAAATGGAAGGAACGGGCAGCAAGTGGTGGGTGCCGTTGGACGCAGGGGGGCGGGGGTGGGGGATGAGGCCTTGTGGGGAGGGTGGCTGATGGAGCAGTAGCAGGTCCATTTTCCTTAAACCCCTGGAGCAACCCTTTGTTTGACTCTCAAGAGTTGAGAATGGAACTGATCAGACTAAAGTAAGATCACAGGAAAGACTGTCTAGCAGATTGGCCCGGACTGTTCTAGAACAGGGACAGGAGAGAAGATAGGAACAGCCATATTCCACAGCCCAAGGGACCCCATGCATATTGTGGTCTGTAAATGGTGCCCCAGTAGATTTGGGTAACTTGGTGGCCTTGGCTGGGAAATCTCTTCCTTTATGTGTGAGTTGAAGGTTGTGAATTTTAGCAAGGCTGGGGAGGAAGGCTGGAGAGGCTCTCCCTAAGTCGGCATGGGTTGAATGTAGCTCATCTTGAAGGCAGGAGGATGCATGAGAATGCTTTACCTTTCTCTGCATGTTCCTGGTGTTCTGGGGAAAAATATTTCTTGGTCTGGTCCCAACTTCCTAAATGCCCCTTTGCAGGCATCACCAACCAGATGTCCATTGACGAACTGTCGCCTTGTGAGGAAGAGGCCCTGCCCTCCCCTGCCGAAGATGAACACAACCAGAATGGGAATCTGGACTAGCCTGGGGCTGGCCCAGGTGAGCCTGTGTGGTGGAGGGGGAAGGGTCTTGAGATTCTGTAGGGAGTAGAGAGAGCTGGGTGTCTGACGTGGCAACTTTGAAGGGTCATCTCTGGGGTTCAGTGGATATGAGGTTCTCCCTCCCTCTTCCAAGGGAGGAAAATGGAGGAAATGAACATATAATTGAGCCAGGGCGTGAGTGGGAGGCAGGGAAATTTTTCCACCCCTCTGTCCAGTCCCAGCAGGAAGGAAGGAGGTAGCTCCTCAGAACAGGGAGGGCCTGAGCAAGGCTGCAGCCAGCCTCTGTAGCACCTTTGTGAGGGCTGGGGAACAGGGCCCGGCCAGGACGCAGGACTCTTGTGAGGTCAGTTGCACATGACTTTGATAGCAGCCCCCCCCCCGCCCCCCCTTGGCTGGGCACCCTCTGCAGGCATTTTTTGCACAGCTGTATGTGGGACCAAGTGGGGGGTCTGGCGGGACTTGGAGAAGGTAGGTCAGGCTGGAGATAAGGCAAAGATCAGAGCACCGAGACCTCTCCCTCTTTCCCAGGTCCTCAATGAGTCCAAAGTGTTTGATGTCATCAGCACCATCCATCGGGACCGGCTCCCCCATCTGCTCCAAGGGAGCATGGAGGTTGAGGAACAGACAACCCACCCGAAGGCCAAATGCCAGAGATTGTGGGGTTGGGGGAAGGGCCCCTCCCCACCCGACACCCATTGGGGTGCACTTTAATTTCCCAGCAGCAAGTCTGGGGAACTTCAGGCTCCCAATGGTCACTGTGCCCATCCCCCTGCCTCTGGACTCCCCCTACCCCCCCCCCCCGCCCGGCCCCGTCCCCTTGGCCAGATGGCTGGCTGGGAGAGGGGAGCTTCTTGGAGGCCTCCCAGGGCCCAGGGGGGAGGGTCAGAGATGCCAGCCCCTGGGCCCTCCCCCATCCTTTTTGCCTCCAAGTTTCTAAGCAATACATTTTGGGGGGTTCCCTCAGCCCCCTCCAGATCTTAGCTGGCAGGTCTGGGTCCCCCTTTTCTTCCCCTGGGAGGGGCTGGAATAGGATAGAAAGCTGGGGGTTTTCAGAGCCCTGTGTGTGGAGAGCGGAGTGGGCTCCTTCAGGGCATGGGACCTTTCTAGGGTCTGGGAATGCGGGGGGTGTTCCCTTTACCCCAGACCTACACTGCTTCAGCGCCATCCCCAGCCTCCCCGCCCCACCCCAATCTTCCTTCCCTCCTATTCTGAAACGTTGACTAGGGGAAGAGAGGAGGCCTTTCCTGGGGTCCGCAGAACTTGGGATTGGTCTAGGCCCCTGGGGTTCGTCACCTACCCTGGCTGTCCTGAGCCCTTTGCCTCCTTCCTCTCCCCTGGGGCTGGGAGGCTCCCATCCGACCAATGTCTGTAAAGAGCTTTGAGGTCTCCCCAGCAAAGCACCTTCAGGATGCATCTTATGAGCACAGGCAGGAGAGACCAGCGGGGTTGGGGCCAAGGGTGCACGTGAGGGTGAGGTATAATCCCGTAATCCTGCATCGCTGTCAGAGGGTTCCTCCCCTCCTCCCCCTTCCAGCGCCTGCGCAGCTGCAGGCACCCAGAGGCCCCGCCCCTGGGACAAGTGGGGCGTGGCGGGTGGAGGCGGACGGCAGGGACTCAGGGCTGTGGCAGTTGTGTTCCTGAAGAGAGCCCGCCAGGCCTTGTGCCCCTTCTCCTCAGGCTCCTTGAGCAGCCTTGTCCCAGCGAAGGCCCAAGTCCAGGCGACTGCCCTCCTCCTATCCTGTAAATACCAACCATGCATTTATACAGCGGGCCCCGTTCGTGTGAAGTCCATAGCCATGGTCTCTTAGACCTGCCACCTTGACACTTGTCCCTCCTACCCCACCCCAAGTGGGGCAGAGACGCATGTGACTCACCCCTGCCCTTGGTCTCCCAGAACCCTGCTATAGCCAGAGATCAATAAAGAAGGGAGACCAGGCCTGGCTGTGTTTCGTGTTCACTGGATGGAAGTCCACCGAGCATCTTCATATACACTGTCTCTTTCAGGCTCGAAAAAACACGGGTGTGGTGTTCTCCCTACTATGTATGTGGGTGGGGAGGCTGGGCCCAGAGAGGGGAGGTCTTGCCTGAGGGCACACAGTGAGGACGGCAGGAATGGGACTCCTGAGGCTCTTTCTCTCTACCAAAGTGCTTCCTCAGTAAGGAGGGGCGAGTCTTGCCTTCCCTCCTCCCCTCCCCACTCCACCACCTGGAAAAATCAAAAGCAGCGGGCAGGAGAGGCCGGCTGGCCATGGAAGTTTCTTCACCTGTGCTGGGTTTTTGTCTTTTGCCCTGGCCCCTCCGAGTCTCAGACCAGGGAGAGAGCTGATCTTTCTGGCTCCCAGCCAGGACCTCTTTGTTAACAGCCACTGTGTTCTCAACCCATCTTTGCTACTGGGTTGGAATAGGGGCGGTGGTCTCATAGCTGGAGGAGGGGCCATATCCCGAAGCCTAGGAATCACTGAGGGGGAGGCTCGGAGGACAAGGAGGCATCCACACAACACCCCCTCTTGCCCTTGGGCCAAGGGCCAGGGTGCAGTTCCCCCCTTTGTCCAGCAGGCGGCGGCCACAGCACAGGCACAGCTGGGCCGGCCTTAGAACTCCAAGTCTCACCCGGCTGCAGGGCAGGCCTGCCGCGCGCTGGTGGTATCTTTTCCTCAATTAAGAGAAGAGAACCCAGGCCTTTCCTTCCTTTTTGGTGCCCTGGAAGTTAGTCCTTACACCTGTCTGACCCCCATCTTTCTTGCCACAGCAGGTGAGGGCAGGGTTGGGGGAGAGAACTCTCCCCGCTCCCAACCCCCTTCTCAAGGCTTCAGCCCAGCTTCCCAATTTCCTCCTTTCCAGACCAGCTGGGCAGAAGGAGAGGGGGCTGCTGAGAAGGCAGGACAAGAAGGGAGGCAGAAAGGATTCTCCAAGCCGGGAAAGAAGGAAAATACCAAGGACCTAACACCAAATTTATCACTTTTTAAAAACAAGAGATTTTTCCCTAAAAGTGAAGAATAAGAAACATCCAGTGTCCATGCATTCCCAACTGCAGTCTCCATTCCAGGATACCTCCTTCACTCTCAGACCTGTTGTGGGGGAGGGGCAGAAAGAGAGGGCGAGTGAGAGACCAGAGGGCCCACTGTCCCCACCCTTGCTGCTCTGCCCGTCATCAAGTGTCTAACCTCTGATGTCCCACACCAGTCCCCCCACATGTCCCGCCCACGCAGGGAGGGGGGACTGTAAGATCAAAGCCCGCGAGGCTATCTCATCAATGCCTCCGCTCCAGGCAGGACATGAGGATCTCCCTTTGGGTTCCAAACACCTTTTCTCAGAAAGCTGATGGCGGACTGCCATCACCCATTCCAGGAGCCAGAAACCCTAGTACTGAGCCCAACCTCAGTCCTTTGTCCTGCGGCTTCATCCCATTTCTTTGTCCGTGGATACGTAATGCCCCCAAATCTTCTTGCCTGAGACGACAGCTTTTCAGTGACTGAAGCTGGTCCTTTGTCCCCCCTTTCCCTGATTCCAGATCTTAGTCCTTGCCCTTATCCACACAGGCTGCTCTCCTGGAGACCGGGCCACCCAGCCCTGGGCTCTTACCGAGTTGGCTCCCTGGGAATCCAGTGGTGGTATATGGGTTGTGGGCTCCTCTGTGCTGGGTTTCTCACTGCCCCTCTCCCGAGCTTTAGGGACGGGTTCTGCAGGCTCTAAGGAGGGAAAGTGGGCAGTGGGAGGGAAAGGCAGTATTCATGAAGGCTGGCAGAGGTTGCTGCTCTTCTTACCCCATTTGATGCCCCAAGACCAGGCTGGGGCAATCGGACAAGACCAGTGGTGTCTTCTCTAATTACAACTATGACTACAGGGTCATTACTATTATTATTTTTTAATTTGCAATCAGAAATTAGAAAAAAAAACCTTCAAAGGAGAGTGAAAAAAAGTTTGGGTACAATTTGGCTAAACCTGACCTCGCATGGGACTATTTGTAGTCTTTATTTATTCCATTTAGTGGGACCATTCAGTTCACTGCAGAAATATTAATGTGTTTGATTACAGGGTCTCTGCTGGGGCGTTGTGCAATATGCAGTACATATGCCATGTCACCTTCATATAGTGGGAAGGACTCTGGATTCTGGAATCCACGTGGGGTAAGGGACTGCGGGCAGGTGTTAACAGCACTTCCCATTTATTGCCTGCTGGGTATGTGTCAGCTGCTGGGCTAAGAACGGGTCTCATCTTATTTTCACAAACAACCCAAGGCCAGAGGCATCATCGTTATCATTTTACAGACCGAGGTTAAGGAAGTTGCTGGAGGCCTCTGGGCTGCTAAAGTGACAGAGCCAGGATTCTAGCCTATGAGTGCTGTTCCCATTACAGTGGGCTCGCACCTTCCAGCAGGGAGCTCTGCGGCCTGAGCTGGGAGGGGCCATGGTCATTCAGCAAGGAAAGGGGCACACAGGCAAATACGTGCAGTACATATAAATATATCCATTTTCTTAAGACAGTTTCTGGCTACAATTAGACCCCTCCCCATGATGGGTAAGGTCTGCCTCCTCCTGGGCCAGTCCCTCCCCAGCCTGAACGTACTTTGTGCTTTCCCAGACGTGCCCAGCCTTAACTCCGCTTCTGTGTCTGTGATCCCAGGTGGGCAGGGCTCCTGGGCCCCTGTGCTCTCAGCGGCTCCCTCAGGTTCCTCTCCCTGCTGCTGTTGCCCCAGGTGATGTTCAACCATCATCTGGAGCTCTGGGGGCACAGAGAAAGAGAGGGACATGACTGTTCAGAGTCTCCTCTGTGGACTCTCCAACTCCACATACCCAGTGAAGGGCCGTCGGACATTGCTGGCCTGACTTTTCCATCCTCTGAGATCTGAACTGGGCGGGGCGTGTGTGTGTGTGTGTGTGTGTATTTCCTGGGCAACAGGGAGGGCCTAAAGCTACACAATAAAACCTATTTCCTTCAAAAGTAAGGGAGGGGAGGGGCAGGGCCTTCAGGAACCAAAGATCTTCCTAACTCGCTGGGATACTCCATCTCCCGTGGGGGCAAGAGGAAAGACTCCATTTAGATTCAAGAAATACTCAAGTACCTTCTGTGTGGTGAGCACTCCATATTCTAGTTAGCTGCCACAGTGAGGGGGTACTCAGGGCTCAGGAGGTGAGGCAGGTGCCCCCAGGCCTCCCAGCTAGTCGGAGGCAGCCCAGACTGTCTAGCAACAATCCGACTATAATAAAGGCAGCTTTAAGGACTTCCCAAGGACTCCCTCCAAAGGGGTCTTTAGGTCCACTGCTCCGCCTCAGGCACAGAGGGGAAGGAAGGGACGGGAAGGGGGGCGGTTCCTAACCTTTCATCGTGGGTGTGGTCCTCGTCACCTTCTTCCGTTGCCGTGGAGACATGGCCAACGTGGACTGTGAAGGACACAGAGCACAGGTGGGGGGCCAGCCCTTCTCCCCCGCCTTCTGAGCCTTGCCATGCTTTTGGATGGGAGACTGGGGGTCAATTGTGGGCTTCAGAGAGTGGGGGGTGAAATTTCCTGCTTCCCAGCTGCTCCCCTCCCCCACACAATGGTGAGCAAGGAGCCTGCGCTTGGGGGATATGGGGTGTGTGTGTATGTGTGTGTCCGCTCGTGCTCCTTTGGGGGGGTGCAGAGGCGAGGGAGTCAAAAGGCCCCTCAGATTGGGTGGGGGGCTGAGGAATAATCCCCTGAGGAGTCACTGGGTTCTCTGGGTTTTGCTGAGTGAGAGGGACCAGCTCACCTTGAGAAGCGGGTTGGGGATCCGGTCTTCATCTATCTCTGAGGGGACAGGGAAAGGAGAAAGTGAAGAGGGCTGAAAACCCAGGGGTCCCTACAGAGCTGACCTCTTTTCTGATCTGCCCCTGGGAAGGTGGCCCTGATGGCTGCCCCAGGCCTGCTCCCTTCGGGCTCCCTCCTGCCCTGCTTTCTTCCCCGCACGGAGTCCTGTCCTTGACTCTGTGGTCAATCTCCGTCTACATCCTTGCCTCAGACCTGGAGGTTCCTGAAGGAGGATCTGTGGTCCTTTGGCTCTTTTCCTCCGTCTCCTCCCAACCACTGCCCCCGCCCCAGGTCCAGAACTGAACCCTGCATGGGAGGGAATCCCGGATAAAGAACAGCAAGTTTATCCTGTGCAGGGACGTACGATCCTTTTTGGTAGTTGGGTGCAGGCCAGAGGCTCGGGCATCCTGAACTCCAGCCTGGCTTATGAGCATGACCACCTCTCTGCCCCTGTCCTGGAAAGCTCCCCCACACTCTCAGAGGCCTGGTTGGGCACGCGGGTGACTGGAATACCAGCTGTTCCCTGAGCCGTGTCCGACCTTCGCCTTCCCCTCTGGGGGCTGGGAAGAGGGCTGATGGAGGCGGTCCCTCCCCCTCACAGCTGTCACTGCCTCTGGGGGTGGGGGCTGCAGCGTCTCAGTTGCTGGAGAAACCTGGAAGGCTGTTGCCACAGCAACCAGCACTCAGTTGACCACCCCAATTCCTGGGGGGCTTAGGAGCCAGGTGCTCTCCCTCCCCTGCCCCAGCACCGCTCCATCTTGCCAAAGCAAAGGAAATCCTCCTGCGATTGCACCACAGCTTTCCCGACCCTGGGGCTGAGGAGCTAGCTCTCCCTGACTCCTCTGATAGGCCCTTCTAGCCGGTGCCCGCCTTCTCTCACTGGACCCGGCTGTCCTCAGCAGCCCCCACGCCCTTCAGCGACCCATCCCCGGGGTTACCTGGGGAGGACTGGTCGCTGGTCAGCACGAGGGTGGCAGGGGTGGGGCGGCGCCTCCGGATCTGAGGGAAGAGGTCAAGTGCACGTGGAAGCATTTAAGCCCCACCCAATCCCACTCAGCAACATAATCCAGGCTCCCCGCTTACTATCCCTCAAAAAATGCCCCATTACCCTGAACCTACCATCCCAAGATGGACATTCCCGGGCCCACCCCTCCCCCTTGGGGACCCAAAGACCCCCCCACCCCTCTTTCCGTTTCTGCATCTCCCTAGCGCTCCGTCTCAGCAGCTCTATCTGCTCTCATGCATGGATCTCTGGCTTGCTGTGCCTTCTGTCCATCCTGACCAATGGTCAGAAATAACCCGAGAGGGCCAAGGCTTTTCCCTCAGTGGTCCAGCCCACCCCCCGCAAACAGACATTAACCTTTGGTGCGCCGGCATCGGTGGAGAGCACCCCTCAGTCCCTGCCCAGCCTGGGTGGACGGCTCAGGGAAGGTAGGGCTGAAGGTGCATTTCTCTGGCCCACGAGCTGGCTCATTCCCCAAAGTCCTCCCTATCCTGGGACACACTGTCTTCCTAATTTGTCAGGAAATGTGGTCTGCGGAAATCCTTGTCATGGTAAATAAAATACTAGCAGGAGTCTAGTCAGGGCCTAAAGTTACTGAAAAATCTTACCCTGGGCTCCAGGGTCCCAGTCTAAGAAATTAACATATAAAAGCGGACCGTCCGCTGGGCGGTTGCTGTTCTTTTGCCACGCTGCCAATAAAGTTGACTGCTGTTGAAGTCAGTCCAAGGACTCTTGGGACATGTGGTTTTCCCCCCTTTCTCTGGAGGGTTTAGAGGCTTGGAAGTGAGGGGACCCGTGGGGCTGGAGTCCCTGCAGCTCCCTCCAGGGCAGAAGAGAGGAGGGAAGGCTAAAGGGGCTGGGAAAGGGGCTAAAATTATCCAGGGCTGAGAGTAGTAGGGTGAGGATGCTGAAGGATGAAATTCCTCTCTTTTCTGTGTCCCATTATTTAGTATCACTACCTTTGGGGGTGGGGTAAGACACCTGCCCTTCTTTATGCCCAGAAAGTGGGTATCAGCCCTAGCAAGAGGCACAGTGTTAGTCTGAGAGGGGGACTCTCCCCAAAGAAATGGGATGTGTACAATGGGGGGTATGTTGAGGTAGGTCATTGTTTTCACTGGAGATTCCAGCAACATCTTTTTGGGGTGACATTTCAAGGTCCCTGGCAGTACCAGTCCTGTGTGTGTGTGTGTGTGTGTGTGTGTGTGCGCGCGCGCGCATACACATCAGCACTACACAAACATTAGTTGTGAGTCGGCCTGGAGTTCCTGATGCAGAGGTGCTGGGCACCAGCACGCGGGCACGTCGGCTTCACATCTGCAGGGTGAGGGCCATCCCTTCCCTAGGGGAGGACTCCCTTTTCTTTCTTTCCTGCTGTGGGTGGAGGGGGCATGCTGGCTGTGGAGGAGTCAGAGAGACAGGGAGAGGGTGGGGGTATTAGTGGAAGTTGGGATCCTGAGAAGGGACCACAAGCACGTCAGAAAGGGCCTTTGAGAGCGCAGCAGGGCTCTGTGATGTTGGACAGGTCCCTTAGCCCATTTCCTTGCCTTGGACAAGATTTCTAGGCACTCAGAGTCTTTGAGAATTTTGATGTCCTATAGCAGAAGGGAGTCAGGTCAGCCTTCCTAAAGCACCTCCCAGGCACCTGAACTACTAGGAAATGAATAGATCATCTCTCTTCTTTCTCTTGCACCTATCTCAAATTCTAGTGCTCAAGGACACCTGGTGCCTTTGCCTCTGATCTGCTGCCAAACCAGTCATGCCAAAGACCTGGTAGTTGTGGGCACCCCTCCATCCCCTGCCACTCTGTGCTCCATAACTCATAGCTTCTAACCCCCTTTGCTCTTCCATGTCTGTCCGGATTAGGAGCTCCTGCCATGCCTGGAGCTTTTTGATTGGGTAACACACTTGGGCAACACAGCAAGAGGGGCCGAGGTTAGACTGCAGGTAGAATTTCAGGTCTAGTGGACACCAATTTTGGAATATTAGAGAAAAGCAGGCAGAAGTCCCAGCTCTTTTTTCACTCTGGCTCCTTACCACTGTCTTCTCTTCCTCCTCTGTTTCCTGACCCCTGAACCAGCTGGCCTACCCCCTCCTCCTCCCAACACACACCAACACCAGCCTTCTTGAACACCAAACAGATGCAGGTGTCAGGCAGTGAGACCTGTCTATGCCGGTGGGAGGCAGTCCTTCTTGTCACTTCACCCCTAATCCCCCCAGCCCACACTCATGGGGTCTTTTTCCTGGGTCTGAGGTTATCTTAGCCAGTCCCCTGCCTCTGGGCGTAACAGCCTTGCCCCTGACTCTGGGGGAACACTCCCCAAGCTCAGGCTCTCCACCTTCCTCATCCTCACCAGGCCTGAGGTCTCCCCACAGTCCCTCCTACTGTCACCCCTTCGAGGTCTGGAGAGGCGGCTCCCCCCAGGCCAGGGAGAGGAGGCGGGGGCAGGTTCCTCACCCCTGCCCACACTTTGGGAAGCTGAAGTTACCGGGAGAGTGTGTGTCCCGACCCTTCCCTTCACACCCTGACCTTATTCCACCAAAGCAAGACAGAGGACACTCTCTCCAGCCCATCCCAAGAGGTCACAGAGTTTTTTTCAGGTGGGGAGGCCCAGCCAGAGCCCTGGGAGCCGGTTGGGGGGAATGGAGAACTGACCTTGTGGCCAGTGGATATTCCTTAGGAACGGGCATGTCCAGGGAAATGGACAGAGAACACAGAAAGAGATGGAGCAATGAGCAAATATTTGGTAAATGGGCGGTAGTAGTGACCACGGGTGGTCACCCTCTCCACACACATGCTTACTCTCCCTGAGACACACACTTGCTCACACACTCTCATCCACTGCCGCCTCTGCCGGGCGGCTCTGACCTAAAAATAGACCGGGCCCTGGGCTGGGCCAGGGCCATGGACTCCCACCCATTGAGCCAAGGCCAGCACAGTGCTGCTCCCTTGCACAGGGGGTCCCTTGCACCCAGGCCCCAGAAAGCCCCTGCCTCTGGCTTCCCGGTACCATTCTCTCCATGCCACCCCACTCCCTGCTCCAAAGGGCAGGAGTTGGGAATAGGGACCCACGTGTCCAGACTTGCAGAAGAGGGGAGCCTCGGCCTGTGGACCCGACCACCCTTCTCCCCAAAGCCCCAGCCCTTTCAGTTTTCCCCAGCTCCTTCTTCTTCTCACTCTCTGGGGTCAGGCAAGGTAGCCTTCAGTTAGGGGAGGACCCGGGAGGCGATTTGTCTTCTTTCAACTCCTTTCGACAGCACCAGGCTCCCTCCATTACCTACCTTCTCCCCCCCCCCACCCCCGCCCCGAACCCCTCTCGCAAGGCTGCCGTAACCTTCGGCGCCCCTATCCGAGCTCAGAAACTCTGGGGGAGGGGGGTTAAGTGGGTGGGGGATGCAAGCCTGGCGAAGGCGGGGGGAGGGGTCGTGTCCTCAGGCAGTCCCCCTCCCCCAGGGCTGGGAAGGCAGAGAGGGACCCTCCGCGGCCGACAGGCTTCGAGTGGAGGCGCTCGCCCTCGCACAGACAGGGGGATGTGGCTCCAGCGGTGGGGGAGGGGAGAGAAGACCCCCAAACTGAGCGCGGTCGCCCTCACAGGGGCGCCCTGCGAAGGGCGGACGAAGCGGGTTTCTCAGATCCCACAGCGCAGGGGTCCCTCGTCCGTTGCTGGGCGAGTCCCCTGCCACCCCGCCCTGCTCCGCACCTGCTCCGCCGCCTCGGGGTCAAGGTGCGGCTCCAGCAGCGGGACCGTAAACTGGATCTTCCGCGGGCTGTTGTCTTGCTCCATGGCTGGGGCGGCGGCCGCTGGGCCGGCGCTGCGGCGGGAGGGCGGGCGGCGGGACTCGGGGCTGGGGCGGGCGCGCTCCCTCTCCGCTCCGCTCCGGCCCCGGCCCCAGCCCGGCGCGCTCAGCTCCCGGCTCCCGGCACCGCGCTCCCTGCGCCCGGCCCCGGGGACTCTGCGGCCGCCGATTGGCTCCGCACCCGCCCCTCCCGGCCCCCTCCCCCAACCCGGAACCTTAACCCCGTCGTGGCTGCGCGGCGGGCTGCGGGAGACCCCGCCGACGGGCGAGCCGGGTGTGGCCCGGTCCGGGGGGTGGTCGGCGGCCCCGGCCCGCATCCAGGTGTCCTCAGAGTTCCGGGTAGGGAGTGGGGGGTGGGGAGCGGGACGGAGAACTTCTCCAGGCTGGGACAGGTTTTAGGAGTGGGAAGGTGGAGGGGCGCTGCCAAGAGGAGGCGGCAAACGTGAGAGGAAGATTTCATTTATGATCTGAAAACGGGTTGTCTCATAGAGCAAAGAAGGAAAGGGGATTTAGGCATGCAGCAGGCGGGGTGAAGGCTAGACACGGAGAGGGACTTGCCCTGGAGAGGAAAACACTAGGGCGAAGGTGAAAACTTGGAGGGGAGGGGTGCGGCCCTGGCGCCGGCAGTTCCCTCGGCCGACAGGGAGGGCGAATTGAAGACCTTAAAGGGTCTCCAGAGGCCAGAGCCTCTCTCTTGAAGTGCGGATGGGAGTGGGTGGAGGGCTCCGGGAGAGAGGACCATCTGGGTCTCAGCAGACGGAGTGTTGGGGGTGGGGAGCCGATAATGCTTGTGAAATAGATTTCTCTTTCTGCTTGCTAAACTATGGGTCTGGGAAACCCGGTGAAAGGCCTTGGAGGGGAGAATGCTGGGGGATGAAGAGGGAAACTCCTGGTGGGGTGGCTTGTTTACAGATGGGGTTGGTTTCCAATCCCACTACTGGCAGGATCATGAAAATGATCTGCTGTAACTGAAGGGATGGAGGTTAGACTCTGTGAAGAACTTACCGCGTTGGTGTAGGACCCGATGTCAATCAATACCAGTTAGTGAGGCAGGTAGGATATTTTTAGGAGCTGGTGGCACCCTGCCAGGGCCTGGGGGTCATTGGATGGAGGGAGAAGAGGTGCTGTGGCCCTGGCGTGGGGCAGGGCTGGATGCATCACTGGGGGAGGAGAAGGACTGGAGGTAGGGAGGAGAAGGGCCAGGGAGTTCTAGGGGAGGGGCTGGGCCAGGGCCAGGGCCAGACATCTGTTTCTTTAGCCTGAAGACCGGCACCTGGCAAGTTCCATACAGATTAATGCCTGGTTCTCTGGGGTCCCTATGACCACCCTCTCCTCTAAGGGCTCACTCGGCCTCAACTCTTAGTTGCCTCCTCTCTTGGGCAGCCCTTCCCTGACCTGGATTTCACAGCCCCTTCCCCTTTTACCTCCCAAAATAACCTCCCCTGTCCTCCCCCCTAGCCATATCTCTTTACACACGCCCGGCCCAGCTCGGTTTTCCCAGGGCAAGCCTGGGGTTATAGGGACCCAGTGGGCCAGCCAGACCCCCATTTGCATGTTAACTGACCCCATTTTGCTGTCACCTGGACTCGAGGAATGACCCCCTACACTCAGTCTGCACTCGTAGGTCCCTTTGCATTCTTTTTAAAAACTTTTCTCCTCTAGTTTTATTGAAAAAGAAGTGACATACATCACTGTATGAATTTAAGGCATACATACAGCACCATGGTTTGACTTAACATATATTGTGACATGATGACCACAGTAGGTTCAGCTAACATTCATCTTCTCATAAGATACAATAAAAAAGAAAAAGAAAGAAGAGAAAAAGGAAAAAATTCTCTTTGTGATGAGAACTCAGGAGTTACTCTGTTAACAACTTTCCTGGTGTATCATAGAGCGGTGTTAGCTCTGGTCATCATGTGGTACATTACATCCCCAGCACTTACTCATCTTAAATCTGGGAGTTTGTACCTCTTGACCCCCTTCCTCCATTTCCTGGTCCCCCTCCCCTCTGCCTCTGATAACCGCAAATCTGATCTCCTTTTCCAGGAGTTTGACTTTTGTTTTAGATTCCACATATAAGTGAGATCATACAGTATTTGTCTTTGTCTGATTTATTTCACTTAGCATAATGCTTTCAAGGTCCATCCATGTTGTAGGATTTCCTCATTTTTTATGGCCAAATAATATTCTGTTATATATACACATACATCTCTGTATCTATATGTATATGTATATGTATACCATCTATCACAACTTTATCCATTCATCCATTCATCCCTCAGTGGACACAGGTTGTTTCCATGTCTTGGCTACTGTAAAGAATGCTGCCATGAACATGGGGGTGCAGATAGATATCTTTGTGTCTTTATTCTCTCTTTGATGTAGCAAGGCCAGCCAGGAAAACAACTAGTTGTATTTCCCAGCCCCTCCCCAGAGGCTGCTCCCCCCGCCCCCCACCAGAAGTTGCAGTGGAGGGAGGGGGCATGAGGACACTGAAGCCAAGAGGAGGAAGATGGGGTGGGGAATGCAGGGCCCATTAGCACATGGGCACTTGCTCTGGTTTCCTTCCCACTCGCCCACCTCCTAACCACACATACACAGAACAGGGTCCAAAGTATCCTCTAAATAGGTGACTTGCACATCCCTTACCCCATTCCACCAGGACCCTGGAATTTGAAGCCAGGATTATCACACCCCTGGATCTCTGGGGCTTCAAAATCCCTTACTGAGCCTCAGTTTCCTCATTTGTAAAATGGGAGAAGAGTCCCTGCCTGATAGGGTTGAGTATCATATGAGGTAAGTGCCTGGCACTTAGAACACCCTCGATTAATCCATGGCTGCTGATGTTACTGTCTTGTCATCTCCTAGCAGGGCAGCAGTGAGGGGAGTC